TTGTGAAAGTAGCAGAGTCTTATTTTTATTTTCTTGGTTTTTCGAGATTGTTTCTCTACGGCTTTTTTTTTTTTTTTTTTTCGAGACAGGGTTTCTCTGTAGCTTTGGAGGCTGTCCTGGAACTAGCTCTTGTAGACCAGGCTGGCCTCGAACTCACAGAGATCTGCCTGCCTCTGCCTCCTGAGTGCTGGGATGAAAGGCGTGCACCACCAACGCCTGGCTAAAAGTAGTAGATCCTTAACTATCACACACAGCGCAGCTCATTCTTAACACATGGGAAGCCCTGGGACTCTGAAGTGCCCAAATCAGGAAAAAAATAAAAATCCAGGTTGTTTTGAGACCGGGTTTCATTCTGTAGCTCCAGCTGGCCTGAACTTCGTACCTAGGATGGCCTTGTGATGAGCCTCTTGCCTCGACCAAGTGTTGGTATTGCAGGCCTAGGCCACCATTTTCACCGTGTTAAAATGATTTAATTGGGGACTGGAGCACTTGCTTGGGTTTGGTTTCTGGTTTCCACATGTTTATCCAGTGCCAGGCTCTCTTCTGGCTTCACAGGCACTGTGCATGTATGTGGTGTGCATACTTACATAAGGGCAAAATAAAACGTAAAAATAAATCTTAAATTAATTTCACTGTAGGTGTGGTGGTTCACAGTTTTAATCTCAGCACCTCAAAGGCAGAGGCAGGTTGATCTCTGAGTTCCAGGCCAACACCAAGGCTACATAAAATAAAACCTTAAACATTTATATATATATATATATATATATATATATATATATATATATATATATATGTATATATATATATAAATAAATAAAACTGGTTTCCCTGTAACTATGAATGGTTCTAAATTCTCATTTAGGACTGGGTTTACTCAATCACAGGGTCTAGCCCTCTAATCCTGATAGGTTCTCTTATTTGTACTGAAACAGTCTCTGAAATGTTAGGAAACTAGGATCCACAGGGCAAATAGTTTCTCCTGAAATGTCTTATCCGTGACATTTGATGACATTTGCTTGAGCTGTTAGCAGTCTTTAACAACCTAGACCATCCCGTCTCTTACGGCTTACTGACTAGTGGACAAATAACCTTTAAAGACCAAAGTATATAGACTGGGCATAACATAAGCATAGGGAACAGATTCTCTGGAAAGTGCGTTTTGTGGTGTTAGATTAAGCAAGTCCACTTATTTTCATTCCCGTTATGTGATTCAGTGTTTTATTGATGCTTAGATAATTAAAGTGAAATGATGAAAATTTGTAAATTTAACACCAATTATTATGCTTTATTATAAAATCAGAATCCATTTTCAGATTTTGTGTCTTTGGGTTTCTTGACCTTTTCTTGATTTTTGTGGATTGTGGCTCACTATCGTTTGGTCTGATATTTACTTAACATTAGGCTGAAGTTATGTAGTTTTGGGATAAAGTACTACAGAGATCACTGGAGTTGGATCTGCAGTTGTGAGCTGCCTGATGTGAGTGCTGTTGACTGAACTTGGGTCCTCTGGAAGAGCAGTATGTGCTGGCTTTGAACTCAAGGACATCCACCTGCCTCTGCCTCCCAGGTGCTGTGTAAAAGGCTGTGACGTCACCATAGCAGTGTTTACTCTTAACTGCCGAGCCATCCCTATAGCCCCATGTTTTATCTTTCTTAGTGGATCGTGTCAGGTCTGGTGCCAGTTTGTCCTCTGTTACTGATGTCTTCATGGCTTGATTAAGGGTGTGCGTTCCATTTAATACTGCAAAGTTAGTGCTTTCTTCCTTTGTCATAAATACTCTGGGTTTTGACGACACTGTGTAGTTATTCAGTATTTCAGTTAGCACCTGCCTCCTTTTTTTTTCTTTTTTCTTTTTAAAGATCCTTCCTTAGGCCTTTGATCTCTACAGAAGCATAGGACCAGGCCAGGTGGAGGTCAGCCAGGCCAGCCCGGGCTACATAGTGGACCCTGTCTCAACCTTCTCCCATTAAAATTTTTTTTAATTGTGTGTGTGTGTGTCTGATGTGTCTGTTGTTTTGTGCATGTGGGTGCAAACTGCCTGTGGGGGGTCAGGCTGGATGCCCCTGGGTCTGGAGTTACAGGCAGTTGTGAATCGTATGAACTTGGGTCCTTTGCAAGAACAGTGCTCTTCTTAACTGTGGGGCTGACTCCAGCCAAATGGACCATTTATTACTGTGGTTGTTCCTAAACGGTGATTTCCCCAGTTTCTTACCTTTCAAAAGCTTTTGTTACTTTGTGACAGACTTTTATTCCTTAGCTTGATTGGTCTTTGATTTGTGATCTTTCTTCCTACACTTTCTGAGTGCTGGGATTAACAGGGTAAGCTATATATATGCTAGGCCTAAGTGGTGTTTTATTAAGTACATTACTCTGTATTTATTAGGTTCTTTTGTTTGGAAGAACTATCCCCGTAATTCATACTAATGTAGACTATACCATCTAGAAGATCACAATCTGTGTTATCTAATTAAATCTGTAGAAAAGCTTTTTGGGGAAAAAAAACCAGACACACACTGGTTGGTAATCTTCCTGTATAAATGATACAAGTTCAAAGTAGTTAAGATGATTAAGTGTGCTCTTGGATTTTGTTGTCCTCATTATATCATGTAAAGAGTTTAATTTTGTTAATTATGAAAATAACTTTTTTCCCCCTGAATGATTGTAGTTCTGTAAAATTAGAAAATAGAGTTAAGAGCCTGGTGGGTGGTGGTTCTGTGGATTGCCTGGAGCGGGAGTGGCTGTGAGCTGCCCAATGGGATCTTTGGCAGAAGCAGCCAGTGTTTTAGCTGCTGAGCCATTTCATTAGTGGACTGAGCCCCCCTCCGTCCGTCCGTCCGTCCCTCCCTTCCTCCTTTCTTCCTTCATTCTCCCCTACCCCCATTTGAGAGTCTCACTATGTAGTTCCAGCTGTATGGGAACTCACTCTCGACCAGGCTGGCCTTAAACTCACAGAGATCATCTGCCTCCTGAGTGTTGGGATTAAAGGCTTGCACCACCACCACATCTGCCTAGACTGACATTTCTTAATATATTGTGAATTTGGATTGGAAAATTTTGTCCTTGTTTTCAGTGACCACTTATAGGAATTTAGCATTTCCTTTTGTCATTAATATGTATAAAAGCCACCGTTTCCCGCCGTGCCTGCTTTGTAATCAGCAGGAACATCGTGCTTCTCATAGGTGTAGTAACGTAGAGCATGTCTTGAAAGAAAAACATGCATGACATGACCAGCATTACTGGGAAGTAGTTATCAGAGCTTGTGATCTGCATGGTAGGGTGCTTAAGGTACACTGCTTAGCTGCATGACTCTACTGATCACTTTTCTTTCTTTCAAGACAGGGTTTCTCTGTGTAGCCCTGGCTGTCCTGGAACTCACTCTGTAGACCAGGCTGGCCTTGGACTCAGATATTCCTGCCTCTGTGTGTTGGGATTAAACGTGTGCGCCAATACCCTCCGAATTACTGTAAACTTTAAAAAAAAGATTTATTAATTTATTAAGCATACAGTGTCCTGCCTGCCTGGATGCCTGTATGCCAGAAGAGGGCGCCAGATCTCATTTATAGATGGTTGGGCCACCATGTGGGTGCTGGGAATTGAACTCAGGACCTCTGGAAGAGCAGCCAGTGCTCTAGTCCTCTGAGCCATCTCTCCAGCCCCTACTGAAGACTTCTAATGTGACTTGTCTGACTTGAATTATTTCATAAATGTAAAACAGTACATACTATATTTTTGAGTACTTGGTGCCTGGATAAAGCATCTCTCATTACAAAAATATATTGATTACATATTGGAATATTTTGGATTAAATAAAGTATATTATTAAAATCCATTTTTTATGTTTTCATGGTGGCTACTAGAAAATTTGAAGATACACAAATGGCTTATATTATATTTTTATAGTGTATAGATTCTGTTAAATTGCTAAAGGTATCTGTGGCATAAAATAGGATTCACTTTCCATGTCATTAAACTCTGGTTAAATATGCAAAATGGGCTGGAGAGATGGCTCAGTGGTTGAGAGCGCTTTGTGTTTGCAGAGAATCTTGTTTCCATGTCCAGCACTGCGTGGTGGTTTACAACCATCCATGTAATTCTAGTTCTAGAGGAACTGGTGCCCTTTCTTGACCTCTTTGGGCTCCTGGCACACAAATGGTGCACAGACGCACATGCAGATTAAACCATCACTTAAACACATACAGCATACATTCTTAAATCTAAAACAACAGTGAAGTGAGGCATGCCTTCGGACACTGCAGTAGAAGGGAGGGAAAAATTAGTAGAATTTTTTTCTGTATTAGTTTCTGAAGAAATCCCCCCCCCTCCTTTTTTTTTTAAATCACAGTTTCACTATATAGTCTTGGCTGGCCTAGAACTCATTATGTAGAACAGCTTGGCTTCAAACTCATAGAGATTTGACTGCCTGTGCCTCTCCAGTGCTGGGATTAGAAGCATTCAGCATCAGACTTGGGCAGACATTTCTTTTAAAATACCCTTCCCTTTAGGGAGGGGGAAACGGACGGACGGACGGGGGGGGGGGGCGGCAGCGGGGGGCGGCACATGCCTTTGATCCCAGCACACTGGAGGCAGCAGCAGGCGGATCTCTGTGAGTTTGAGGCCAGCCTGGTCTACAGAGCGAGTTCCAGGACAGCCCGGGCTGTTACACAGAGAAACCCTGTCTCAGAAAAACAAACAAACAAACAAACAAGCAAACGAACAAAAATATCCTTCTTGTTAGCTTTCATGCTGCATCACCGTTGGACTGGGAAAACTGGAACTAGAAATATCTTGGTATCAGAGAAGCCAAAATTGGATGTCTGTGCTCAGGATTGTCCCTTAGTGTTTGTAAACATGAAATTGTTATGTATAAGAGGTCATTTGCAGGTTAGTTGCAATCATTTCATCTTGTGAATGCTGCTTTACTGATAGGAAAGTCTTTGTTAGAAGTAAGCATTTTTATGTTTGTTTGACCTTTGCCTGACTTTGACTTTTTGTTTCTTAGAAATGACTGCCGTCCACACTGGCAACATAAACTTCAAATGGGACCCCAAAAGTCTGGAGATCAGGACTCTGGCTGTTGAAAGACTATTGGAGCCTCTTGTTACACAGGTAAGGATTTGGAATCAATTTGCATAGTTGTTCTAACATTCTTTTGCAGTAGGCCAGGCTAGCAGACTCGTGACCAAGGGTGTTAGCTCAGTGTCTTAGTGAATTAGTTGAGTTTAGTTAGTCTGATAGTACTTAGATAATTTGACTTCATCACTAACTGAATGTCAGCACATATTTATTTAAAATTATTTATTTTCATTTTGCATTGGCGCATGTCTGTGTGAGGATGTTGGATCCTGAAGATACAGACAGTTGTGAGCTGCCATGTGGGTGCTGGGAATTGAACCCGGGTTCTCTGGAAGAGCAGCCAATGTTCTTAACCACTAAGCCATCTCTCCAGCCCCACATATTTTTATTTAATTCTTTTTGTTACCGTTTTTTTTGACACAGGGTTCTATATCACCAAGACTGGCCTCAAAGCTTCTTAGGTAGCTGTGACCAGACTTGAACTCTCCTACTCCCTGTCTTCACCTTGTAAATACTGCTTGGATTTTTGTCACCATGCCTGGCTTTAGTAAATTCTTAGTCTAGACCACAGCTGTTACCATTTTCTGAAGTCTTTTTTTAAAAAGTTTATTTATTTGTTATGTATACAGTGTTCTGTCTGCATGTATCCCTGCAGGCCAGAAGAGGGCACCAAACTGCATTATAGGTGGTTGTGAGCCACCATGTGGTTGCTGGGAGCTGAACTCGGGACATCTGGAAGAGCAGCCAGTGCTCTTAACCTCTGAGCCATCTCTCCAGCCCCCCATTTTCTAAAGTGTTATTGCTGATAGTAAATGTTATTAGTATATAGTGCAAATTTCCAAATATTTGTGCCTTGCCCATAATTTCACCCTCTATTAGCGGGGAAACCCAAGGAGGATAGGACTTCATTGTCGACATTCCTCATTCAACTTCGTGCGCCGTTGGTTGTGTAGGAATAGTGGGCAAGTAGCTTGAGTTTGAGGGTGCAGGTTTGTTATATTCTGCTACATGTATCATAAAGTGATGGCATTTCTTAACTTAGCAGCTAGCTATACATTTTTACTTTCTGGTACAGCTAGTTTATGTGTTTTAATTATATATTAGAGGAGAGAGGCAATGAGAATGGAATTTAGTGTCTTAAAAATTGCCAGCCACCTGGCGTTGGTGGCGCATGCCTTTAATCCCAGCACTTGGGAGGCAGAGGCAGGAGGATCTCTGTGAGTTCGAGGCCAGTCTGGTCTACAGAGCGAGTGCCAGGACAGGCTCCAAAGCTACACAGAGAAACCCTGTCTCAAAAAACAAAACAAAAAAACAAAAATTGCCATCCATGTCACAAACTATTGTTTCATGTCTTCATGTAGTTGTGTGGGTTAGATGGAATCTATATTACACCTTTCAGGCCTTGTGTTTGACAGATTTACACACTAACGAGTCTTGAATCATCTTCAACCTACAGATCATCTGGTCTATTAAACACTAATTATGGCTAAAAACTCTGGGACTTTAACCATCATCCACAGTATCACACCTGTGGGAAAGCTTTCTTTCCTTTATTAAGGACCTTTGCTAATTAATGCTAAGATTCGTGATAATAAGCTTGAACAGACTTCAGAAGTAAGTTATCTTAAAACATTTTGCAGGTTGGTGACAATGACAAAATGTAGCCTTCTGGTAAAGCTAAATTCATGTTCAGCATTGCACTTATCACTAATCTTAGTTTTAGGCTGTGAAGTCACTCTAAAACCTAATGGTTATTTAAGAAATTAAAATACGCATTGCATTTCTTATCTTACATATCGGGAAATTATTTTGGAAACTATAGCATCGTTTTTTCTATTGTCAAATATGGAAAGCAATTTGCTATTTCAGGGTTAGCGAGCGTTGTAAGTGCGATTGCCTTGCTTCCTTGCGAATGTAGGTTTGCTATCTTTAAAGTATTAATTGGTCTGTTATTTTTATTTTAAATGATTAATCCATTTTAAAAAATTAAACTCTTAGGTGACAACCCTGGTCAACACCAACAGTAAAGGACCCTCTAATAAAAAGAGGGGTCGTTCTAAGAAGGCCCATGTTTTGGCTGCATCTGTTGAACAAGCAACTGAGAATTTCTTGGAAAAGGGGGATAAAATTGCAAAAGAGAGTCAGTTTCTCAAGGAGGAGCTTGTGGCTGCTGTAGAAGATGTTCGAAAACAAGGTAGGTCAATAATTGCTTTTCATATGAAGAGAGGTGTTCCTAGAAATTTAGTAAAATTTAAAAATCATAATTACAGGGGCTGGAGAGATGGCTCAGGTTAAGAGCACTGGCTGCTCTTCCAGAGGTCCTGAGTTCAATTCCCAGCACCCACATGGTGGCTCACAACCATCCGTAACAATATCTGGTGACCCCTTTTGGCCTGCAGGCAGAACACTGTATACAGAATAAATAAATCTTAAAACAGAACAAAAACCAAAACCAAAAAGAAAGTACATTTACTTATATCAGTACGCGTGCCTGTGTTTGTACTTACCACGTAAGTGGAAGTCAGAGGACAGCTTGTGGGAGTCAGTTTTTTTAAAACTGTATGTGTTGAACTCAGGTTATCAGTCTTGGCAGCACCTGCCTTTACTGGCCCTAACTGGGTTTTTTTCTAATGAGTCATTCACCAGGGGAAAGTTGACTGCTCTGCTGTATGAACAATCTGGAAGTTCTGTAGCGGGGAGGTGAAATCTACTGCCAGTAGCCATCAGCATACTTTTTGCCTAGTATATGAATAAACTACGATGGAAACACATATCCATTTATATTCATTATTCAGATGACAGTACTGCCAACTAACCCCAAAGGATCATACATGTTCCTTTGAAGCTGCCATTGGTTTTTGAATGACTTACTAGTCATCATAATAAATTATGAATTCCTTTCTCTAGTGATCCTAAGCCCTGATGTAGCTTGTTTTACTAGTATATTAAATAAATGCTTACCTCAGGAAACACCTTATTGATATCTATGGGAACACTTGGTTCCTAAAGGTAGTTTAAGATGTGTTTGCTTTGTATCAGTGTTGACTACTTTTGATTACTTAGGGGCTTCTAGTTATTTATTTGTTTGTTTGTTTATTTTGGTAAAGGGCCAGGTAGCATTTTAGTTTACTGGCCGTAGAATCTCTGCTGAAACTATTCAGCCCTACAGTTGAGTTGGGACAGCAGCTATTGGGAATATGTGCACAAATGCACAAGGTGTGTTCTAATAACACTTAGAAAAGCAGAAGGTATGCTGTTTTGATATACAAATACAGTTTGCTAATTCCTAATCTAAGATTTCCCTACACTGTTAAAAAAAAATGCAAGTTTGTAGCTGGAGAGATGGCTCAGGGATTAAGAGCACCGACCTCTCTTCCAGAGGTTCTGAGTTCAATTCCCAGCAACCACATGGTGGCTCACAACCATCTGTAATGAGATCTGGTGCCCTCTTCTGACCTGCAGGGATACATACATACAGAACACTGTGCACATAATAAACAAACAAACAAACAAACAAATGATAAACAACAGTCCTGGGAAACAAATAAAAAATAAATCTTTTTAAAAAATATAAGCTTGCTATAAAGAAGTGTTTGTTTATTTGTAATACTTTTGAGTTCCAAGACAGACCTTGTGTAAGGGGTTTGTGTGTGCCCTGTGCTTTCTTTTCTGTGCAACCATAATTAATGAATGCATATAGTTTTGTAGCATAATTTTCCTTTTGTATTGGTCCTTTATGTGAATAACATGTATGAAAATCTGGATACCTTAAGACACCACCATAATGTTGTCAGTGTGTCAGAAACATCCACATTCATAAAGCACAGGTTTCCTTCAGGGTAATAAAATGACCAGGTGAGTCTCCTGTCGAAAATGGGAGCCGGTTGTCAAGTTCAGGTCTAATCTCCATGGCCTCAAGTTACGCTATGACGACAGTCTCCTTCAGCTAGGCGCTCTGCGTTCCGCAGGCTGAAGCACATCGCCACATCTCCTAAGTGTCCTTTCTTCCATGAGGTCAGCATTAGTTTTCAGGGTCTTTTCCTAGTTCTTATCATAGTGATGGTTAAATGGGTTGCCTGCCTCTTCCCAGCTTATTTTGTAGCCTTGGTGGTCTTTCTCTGTGGTACCTGACGTGGACCTGGTTTGTGATAGGTATGTGTTTTAGGATAATTAATTATTTCCTAAAGAGTATACAGTGTGAGCCTGTATTTCCTTCCTCAAAATTTAAGTGTGCTTTACTTCCCATTGACTGACAAATGCGAATGCTTTCATGTAGGTGGGGAATCGTAAGGGGCCGATACTCTTAGTGCTTTTAGTGTTTTCACAGGGTCAAGCAGCCCATTACTCGCAAAGACACCCTTTACTCATCGTAAGTCACTGAAGTCTTGTGCACACAGTAGGTTCTTTTCTATTTTTAAAGATGGGGGTCTTGCTGCCTAGCTCAGGCTTGCCTGGGACACTGGATCATTTTGCCCCAGTTTCCCAAATTATCGTAAGTGTGTGCCATCATGCCTGGTCCCATGCATATGTGTTGCAGCAGTTCATACAGAGGAGGGTTGCCTCTGGTTATCTGAAGTGTTTTGTGAGTCCTTGAATAATAATAATTCTGACTAGAAAAAGAAAGCACATAGCTGTCTAAGGGACATTCAACAAACAGATGAGATGATTTAAATTAGAAAAGTCGCACTGGGGTGGCCTACACCTTTAATCCTAGCACTTGGCAGGCAGAGGCGGGTGGATCTCTGTGATTTTTAAGGCCAGGCTGGTCTACATACGAGCCAGAAAAACCTTGCCCTTTTCGTGTGTGTGTGTGTGTGTGTGTGTGTGTGTGTGTGTGTGTGTGTGTGAGAGAGAGAGAGAGAGAGAGAGAGAGAGAGAGAGAGAGAGAGAGAGAGAGAGAGAGAACACGAACGAGAATGAAGGTGTGTGCACAAGGGCCTGGGTTTGATCTCAGAAAACGTCCTTCCCCTAATTGGTCTAGGAAATTATTGTTTCCTGTGGTTGTTTTGGTTTTGTTCTGTTTTCAGGCCCAGGCTGGCTTTGAATTTACCTTCCAGCCTCTCCAGTAGCTGAAGTTAAGGGCGTGCTCTTGGCCTAGGCACTATTTTTGAGAGTGGCTTGGAGTGCCAGGTGCGGAAGGGAAGGACTTTTAGGGAATGATGTAGAATCACAGGGTTCTATTGTTGGGACAGGCTTACAGCTTCCCGTATGCCCCAGTGATTGATAGCAGGGCTCTCACCCCCTCGGGAAGCAGGTCTTTCCAGTATTGGTTTGTGTTTATTTCTAAAACCTTCTTAAAAAATTTAAACTGGAATGCTTTTTTTGTCTGTTTTTTTTTTTTTTTTTTTGAGACAGGGTTTCTCTGTGGCTTTGGAGGCTGTTCTGGAACTCACCCTGTAGACCAGGCTGGCCTCAAACTCACAGAGATCCACCTGCCTCTGCCTCCCGAGTGCTGGGATTAAAGGCGTGCGCCACCAACGCCTGGCTTTGTTTTTTGTTTTTTTGTTTTTTTCGAGACAGGGCTTCTCTGTATTGTTTTGGAGACTGTCCTGGAACTAGCTCTGTAGACCAGGCTGCCCTGGAACTCACAGAGATCAGCCTGTCTCTGCCTCCCAAGTGCTGGGATTAATGGAATGTTTCTTTATTTTTAAGAAGTTCTACCATCTGGGCAACATAAAATGTAAGGAAAAGTAGTGGTTCATGGGAGATTAGTCTTTGAGCTTTGTATAGGAAGGTTAAGAGGTTGAGAGAGAGGAGATAGTCTGGAGGCTGTGTCTGGACACCATCGTCATTGCTGTGTGGTAGGGGGAATGGAGGAAGAGATGCAAAGGAGTAAGCTGTCTTGCAGGGTAACTCTTGTGCAAATAACTGTTCTTTTAATAGATAAAAATTAAGGACTTGGTACATGAACTACTGTGTAATTTATTTTCTTGTAACGGGAATCATTTTAGGAACATGTTGAGGCAATGGGGGGTGCTAAGAACTGAGGCAAATTATTTAAAGTTAGAAGTATTTGTTCCAGGGACTTGGGATGTGGCTCAGTTGCTAGTGCTTGCTTAGTATGCCTGAGACCCTGGGTTTGATCTCAGCGTCACATAAAACGAGGCAGAAGTGTGGCATTCCCTTGTAAGCTCAGTACTCAGTAGGTGGAGGCAGGAAGTTCTAGGCCATCCTTAGCTACATAGTGAATTCAAAGCCTGATTGGGATACATCCTGGGATACACGATACTGTCTCTGAACCAGAGGGTGGGGGAGGTGGGTGGTAGGGAGCACAGACATGGGGAACAACCCTTGTCTCAGCAAAGAGCTGTTTGAATTCAGCTGTGCTAATTTTTAGTTAACATTGCTTGACAATATTTGGTCCAGTAATTTAGTTACACTAACAACAGTCAATTGGTTACATTATTTTAACTTTTTATTTTGAAACAATTATACATTAGCTGGTGATTGTAGAGGTAGTGGAGAGGTCCAGTGGTACCTTCATCCATTTTTCTTGTTTATATCTTTAGGAACTATGTATAATAGTATGACTTCAGAATCAGGACACTTTCCTTTTTGTTACAGCTGTAGATTTTATATAACTAGTGCTCAGTCAAGATACAAGGAACCAGTTCATTTTCTCAAAGATCCAATCTTCTTCTTGCTATTCATTCATGTACCTCTTGTCCTTTTTCCTGAATCACTTTGTAATTCTGTCCTTTTTAAGGTTGCTACATTCATCTTTTGAGATTGGGTTTTTTCTCCACTGAGAACAGAGTGTCTGATCTTGAAGACCATCAATATAGGTGTACATAATGATTGTTTAAACTTTTAATTGCTACTCCATGGCATGGTTATAACTTGTTCATGGGAAAGTAGAGATTTCTTTATCCTCTTAACAGTAATTTTCCCTTTTGTTCATAAGGATTTTATTTTTAGTTATGCACATATGTGTATGTATCTGTATGTATGGATGTATGTATGTGGGTATAGGTGCACTTGAAGGTCAGACGAGGATATTGAATTCTCTGGAGCTGGAATCACAGACCGTTTTGAGCTGCCTCATATGAGTGCTGGTAACCAAAATTGGATCATCTGCTAGAGAAAGCTGCAGTCTTAACTGTTGAATCATTTCTCCAGCCTTTTAACACCCCCCCCCCCGACAATAAAACTTTAATTTTGATTAAGTCTATTGTATTGGCTTCCCACACAATT